GGGTTTGGGGTGGCGGGGATGTTAACGTTCCAGTCAACTTGCTCACGTCATGTATGCTTCATGAACTTCGGGGTTTGGGTGGGGGGGGGGTGTTAATGTTCCTGTCAACTTGCTCACATCATGTATGCCTCGTGAACTTCGGGGTTTGGGTGGAGGGGGATGTTAACGTCCCTGTCAACTTGCTCACGTCATGTATGCTTCGTGAACTTCGGGGTTTGGGTGGGTGGGGGATGTTAACGTCCTTGTCAACTTGCTCACGTCATGTATGCTTCGTGAACTTCGGGGTTTTGGTGGTGGGGATTTAACGTCCCTGGCAACTTGCTGACGTCATGTATGCTTAGGTGAACGTCGGGGTTTGGGGTGGGGGGGATGTTAACGTCCCTGTCAATTGCTGACGTCATGTATGCTAGTTAAACTTCGGGGTTTGGGTGGGGGGATGTTAACGTCCCCCGGTCAACATGCCTGACGTCATGTATGCTTAGTGAACTTCGGGGGTTTGGGGTGGGGGATGTTAACGTCCCCTGTCAACTTGGCTGACGTCATGTATGCTTAGTGAACTTCGGGGTTTGGGTGGGGGGGATGTTAACGTCCCTGTCAACTTGCTCACGTCATGTATGCTTCGTGAACTTCGGGGTCTGGGTGGGGGCGGATGTTAACGTCCCTGTCAACTTGCTCACGTCATGTAGGCTTCGTGAACCTCGGGGTTTGGGTGGGGGGATGTTAACGTCCCTGGGTTTGGGGTGGCGGGGATGTTAACGTTCCAGTCAACTTGCTCACGTCATGTATGCTTCATGAACTTCGGGGTTTGGGTGGTGGGGGGGTGTTAATGTTCCTGTCAACTTGCTCACATCATGTATGCCTCGTGAACTTCGGGGTTTGGGTGGAGGGGGATGTTAACGTCCCTGTCAACTTGCTCACGTCATGTATGCTTCGTGAACTTCGGGGTTTGGGGGGGGGGGGGAGGTGGGGTGGGATGTTAACGTCCCTGACAACTTGCTGACGTCATGTATGCTTCGTGAACTTCGGGGTTTTGGTGGGGGGGATGTGAACGTCCCTGTCAACTTGCTGACGTCATGTATGCTTCGTGATCTTCGGGGTTTTGGTGGGGGGGATGTGAACGTCCCTGTCAACTTGCTGACGTCATGTATGCTTCGTGAACTTCGGGGTTTTGGTGGGGGGGGATGTTAACGTCCCTGAGTCAACTTGCTGACGTCATGTATGCTTCGTGAACTTCGGGGTTTGGGTGGGGGGAATGTTAACGTCCCTGTCAACTTGCTGACGTCATGTATGCTTCGTGAACTTCGGGGTTTGGGTGGGGGGGATGTTAACGTCCCTGTCAACTTGCTGACATCATGTATGCTTCGTGAACTTCGGGGTTTTGGTGGGGGGGATGTTAACGTCCCTGTCAACTTGCTCACGTCATGTATGCTTCGTGAACGTCCCTGGGACGGTATGCTGGGGGTGGTGGGGGGGATGTTAAACTTGCTCCATGTATGCTTCGTGAACTTCGGGGTTTGGGTGGGGGGATGTTAACGTCCCTGTCAACTTGCTGACGTCATGTATGCTTCGTGAGCTTTGGGGTTTGGGTGGGGGGGATGTTAACGTCCCTGACAACTTGCTGACGTCATGTATGCTTAGTGAACTTCGGGGTTTTGGTGGGGGGGATGTTAACGTCCCTGTCAACTTGCTGACGTCATGTATGCTTCGTGAACTTCGGGGTTTGGGTGGGGGGATGTTAACGTCCCTGTCAACTTGCTGACGTCATGTATGCTTCGTGAACTTCGTGTCATCGCTGTGGCTGATACAAAAAGGCGCAAAAAACACACCAGTTGCCCCAAGATTTAGTAAACTCTCACATGATGAATAATTATGGAAAGATGGTCGAAACTATTTTAGCAATTCGATTCTTTGGATTGCCTTTTTTTTGACATTTTCGCTTGTGTGCTCACAGCATTTTACGGTAAAATTATGGTTACCGCAAATGTTGCCAAATTTTGGCTACGGACGTCAAATATTGCCTACGGACGTCAAAAAACAAGGCTTACCGCAAATGACAGCAAATAGGCCCAACATTTGATCCACAGGGATTGATGGTGGGTATGTTGTTTGGCTGCAGTGAAATGTTGGCGCGGATTGGTTGAATCATCCCCAACAATGACAACATTTCTGGTTTGCGAATCATCAACGAAATATGGAATTGTTCTATTGTTGACCCTAGTGGATGATTTTAAGCCATTTGCGGTAAGCAGATTTGACCAGTTTGAGGCTTTTCCTAATGATCTACATACCAATGGTGGGTTCCCCAATAAGTTGGGAATAGGTGGGATATAACCCCTATAACTATAACTATGGTGAACAATCCACTTACAACTGCAACTGCACTTCCAAGATCTTCCAAGTATTGTTGATGGTTAGTTACCCTCCAGTAAACTAACAGTTTGCTATGGAAAATCACAATGTTTATTGGGTAAATCAACGACAAATGAATACACATGGTCAGTTTCAATAGCTATGTTAAATTACCAGAGGGTATATCTATTATCATCTAATCGGTATCATTTGTAATCAGCTATCATCAATTATAATCAGCTATAGCAGCTTATATCATCTAAACATCATCATCTCCCCAGGGATGTTTGCATCATCACCTTTGCGCTTGGCAGGCACAAATTCTCACGGCGCAACGTGAGAAGCGGAAGGTCTTGAGAGAACCCTTGCAGGGGCATCTCAGCCTGGTGGCAATGGAAAGTTGACAGTTTCCCCCAAATGCCAAGTCGCGTGGGCGTGTATTTAGTCAGCAGTGTGTCTGCAAATGGGGTATACTGCCCAGTTCAACTGTTCAACGGCCATTTACCCTCTGGTAAACTAACATAACTATGGAAAATCACCATTTTATAGCTGGGTAAATCCACTATAAATGGTCATTTTCAATAGCAAACTGTTAGTCATTACCGGAGGGTATATGTGGGAAGACGATGATGAAAACCATGGGATGGTGTGTCCTAAAACCATGGGATGGTTGAACTGCTTGTATGTCACCGATCGGCTGAATATTTGGCTCAAGGATATAGATGTCTTCAGATGTAAGCCAACCTGTTGGCAGGCTCCCGCTGGATGCTTATGAACAAGCAGTCAAGGAATCAAAGCAAGAAACCATAGCATTATGTTTTCAGATTTGTTGGCAATTTGAAGTTTGTGAAGTTTGTCAAGTTGGACGCAACTTTTCCGCGTAATTCCATCTTAGAATCATGATTGAGCAAACATAATCAAACTAATTATCACTAGTTATAGCATGCAGCATATTCCCATATTTTGCGATGTTTTGTGAACTTGGATATCCATATCAAGTCATGATTGCATATCATCATGATTAAGTTGGATGTTCATACATATATACTATACATATAAATTATATGTATATATACATATATATATATTATAATATATATATATAATATTATATTATACTATATATATGTATCATATGTCAATCCTTGTTTCTGAAGTTCGTTTTTCGCAAGCTGGTTGTGGAATCCGCCCCCTTGCGGTGGCCAGCAACAAGCGGCACCGCACCGGGCAGGTGAAACGACGTTAAGACGCCGTCGACGTGCGATGAATCAGGCAGGACGGGCAGCCAATGGGAGCTTTGGGTCCTGCTGCTTGGTGGTTTAGTTTCATATATAATCATAATCATGTATATATATATATATTTATCTATATCTATATGGGGGTTTCCATAAATGGAGATAGCCCAATAGCTGGATGGCTTTAAAAAAAGGGAAAATCCTAAAGAGTTGTGGATGCCGAGGATCATCCCCCAACTGGAAACCAATGGCCGTTGACCAAAAAACAGCGTTTTTTTCAAGGTGCATTACGATAATTCAACCATTATACATATATAATACATATGCATACATATATATATGTATATGTATATGTATATGTATATATATATGTATACATATATATATATATATATATCTGCAGGCCGGGGGTGCCGCCCAGAGGTTTATCATCAGACCAACTCTTTAGGGTTTGTTTAGGGCTTATTTATGGTATCATTTGGGTTTTGAAAGTTTTTTTTTTTTTAAACCACAGTTTTAATAAGATTTTACTTTCAAGGCTTAATTAGAGTTTTATATCAGATTTAGGTGTTAGTATTTAGGATTTAGGGTTTTGTGTTTTGGAAACAAGTCTCGTCAGCCAAGTTGCCTTTTCACCGACATACCAACATGCAAAAAACTCTGGCCCTGCGCACTTAAAACCCCCTTCGCCAGGCAGCACCCCCGTCCTGCACACACACACATGTACACATATACGTTTCTGGTTGGTGGTTTGGAACATTTTTATTTTTCCATATATTGGGAAGAATACTCCCAGCTGACTTTCATATTTTTCAGAGGGGTTGAAACCACCAACCAGATTTATATATATATATATTCATTATATATGATATATATATATATATATTATAAATGTACACATACATGTGTACATATACATTTATATATAATATACATATTACATATATATATATATTTCTACATGTATTTGACACGTCTCACAAACGTGTCGCCATCCGGCCTGCTGGCCACTTCGCAGGTGAAACCTGAGCACTTTCCAGAGGCAGCTTCGATGGCGTCTTTCATGGTGGCCTCCACCATGGGATATCGATCAACAGCTAAAGATGTGAGTTACCAATAAGGTATATAATTAAAATATATAATAATAATAATCAACTGGTTGGTGGTTTCAAACATGGCTTTTATTTTCCAATAATATATGGAATGGAAGAATCCTTCCCATTGACGAAATCATATTTTTCAAGATGGTTAAAACCACCAACCAGTCAACAATAATCAACAGCCAGTACTTTTTTGATAACAGCAATAATCAACAGCCATTTCAGGTAATGCGGGTAACACAATGTCATAAACCAACCCCAGTCATCACCATTTTTATAGGTGCTATGTTTACCATTGCCAGTCATGGGTGGTTTATGATTGTTTTACCCACATTACCTAATTTTAGGTACCTACAATGTGAGGCCCCCAAGATAGCTAAGTTGGTTTATAACTCCAATAGCTATGGTTTATGGTACTTATAACTATAGTTACTGGGGCTTATAAACCAACTAACATCACTGGGGGGCCTCACATTGTACCATAAGTAAGGCCAATCTACAGTAAGGCCTAAAGGTGTTTTTTTTGCCAAGAAATGGCTCCATTGTACCTGAAAGTCCCGTTGAATTGATGGTGATACCCTCCGGAAGTCCGGAAATCCAACGTGGAAAATCCCCAAGCACAATCCATTCCTTTTCAAGCCACGACCGGTGGATATTTTCATGAGACATACACTGGAAAAAAATTGCAGTGAACCAAGATGTTTTAGCTGGTTTGGCGGATTTGGGGTTGTCCAAAAATCATTGGAAACCTCCAAAATCTAACGGTTTCTCATGATTTTCCAGCTTGGATTTACCCTGAGATTGGGTGGAAATTCGTGCAGATATGTAGTCAGTATATGTCAGTGTACCAATATGCTAAACTAAAAACGAAGAACTCGGAGAGTCGTTCTTAGGCTTGGGGAATGTTGGGGACCTTGAAATATGTTGACAGCATGTTGGGACCTGAACCTTAGCAATTGTTTGACCCATGCCTGAAGGTCAGCGGTCTTGCGCAAGCACCCCCATTTTGTTGGTTGAAAGGTTGAATCCCTATTTTGGTTGCTGATCTCCAACTCTGCTACGGAAAAAAAAGGTGGCATGAGTTTCGATCATCACGTGGCGGCGTTTTCCCACAAAGAACAAGCTTTTGTGGCTCATTTGCCAGATTTTTTTGATCTGTACTCTTTTCTTATCCCTTAGTCCTAAAATTCGTTTGTATAAGGGAATTGGTCACAGGAACCCCCCATATTTGGGCTTTTTAAGCGATGGTTTCTGTTTCCAGTGACTGCAGTGCTTTTTTTTCGCCGTCACCGCAGGTCCATCAGAGGAAGGTCTTCCCCTTCAATCCCTCCAGAGGTCCTTCCCCTGCAGACAGTCGACTGTCGACCCCTGCACCTCGGTCGAGGGAAGTCGTGGTGAAAAAAGCATGGTAAGTTTTGGAGAGTAAGAAGCCTGGCGGGTACGAACTAAATGGGATGATCCTTCAGGTTGAGAAACTGGGGAATTGCGAATTCACCTGGAAACTTGGGGATGAAACAACCTTGGAAAAACGCAACGAATGAAATTTCCCAGACTTTGTTTTTCATTAGCAAAACTTGGACTTGGAATGGGCATTTCTTGGCCGAGAAACATGGATGATGGTCCTGGAGATTGGATGATTCTCTGGATTTATGGACCTCAAGCAGGTTTCAAAAAATGGAGACCTTGAAAAATGCTGGAAGATATAAGATATTCATGGATAATTATTTAATAACCAACATGATGGGGATACAATGAGATATCATTAGAGGTTTCCTAAGTCATGTACAAAAAATATCATCCACGTCATGACGGATCACGGGGGAAGCCTTGGTGGGGAGAACTAACCCTCTGGTTATCAAAAAAAACGATATAGACGATTTTTAAATGGGAGTGCTAACCAACTATCTAACTATCCAACCTTCCAACTATCTATCTATCTATCTATCTATCTATCTATCTATCTAAATTGCGGCTTTTCCAGCAAACCATGCTTGATTACTAGAGGAGATTAGCCATGCTGTGTCCAGATGGTGGGGATCATGTTGTTGTTACCACCACATTCTAGAACTATACCTCATTCAACTATCCACTTTATTTGGGTGATACAGATACATCATATATATATATATATATATTTATTTATTTATATTTATTTATTTATATTTATTTATTTATTTATTTATTGACTAATTGAGTACTGGCTTGCAGATCTCGCAATTTTGGCTCCACTTGGAGGATCCAACAACTTGAGAGTTCTTCCATAGTGGCCATGGTTCCTGCCACCCTGTCTGCTTGGTGGCATGGAACCATGGATTTTTATGACTTTCCATTCAGTTGGGAAGATATAATCATATTCATCTTGGGAATGGAAAATCATCCCAACTGACTCATATTTTTCGGGTAGGTTGAAACCACCAACCAGCTGTCATATGTTGGAGATTCCTAGTTCTGTATGGGTCATGAACCACTTAAAAAAAAGTGGTGGCTTCCTAGACCTCGTCAATCTCTGCTGCGGCTGCGTTGAGGCCCTATCTGTTCAGACGGAACGGCACAGAACGCTGGGAGGGAATCGACCGCATGTCCTCACTACGCGTCTCGATTGCTGATATGAATGCAACCGTGGAAGTTGAACAGTGATGGGCCCCAAGAAAAAGCTCTCTAGGTGAAGATCATCCTACTGTGGATGGAAGAAATCCTACACCAGTTGATAGATGGTTTATCCCATTATTTATAGGGTTTCAACCATCCAAGGTGGTGCAGGATTTCTTCCATCCACTGTATGTACATACTTTCTGGATGAATTATAGGGACCTATAGCTCGTGATTTCACGACGGAATGATGGTGAATGTTTTTTGGGAATCATCCCGCTGGCCGCAATTTTCAGGTTAGTCAAATATGATAATTCAGCAAGTAGATGATTGTTAAATCCCGTTAAATCCCGTTAAATCCCATAAACTCCCATCAAATCAAAGGGTAAATCCCATCCTCCCAAGGGCTTGAGGGATTTTTATGGGGATTTATATAATAGCATTTTAACTGGATTTTGTAGGGATATAGTAAATATAGCAATCATATAGCAATCATCACATCCTCCCAATATTTTCAAGGTCAATCTTGGATGGGTACTTTAATCCAAACTTATCTACGTTCACCAGCTAAGAATGTGTCATTTTTTGCGTATCCGAGAGTAGCCATGTGATGATTTGATGATTTGTTGCTTCATTCCATGCTTGAGCAATCACCGCCCGCAGGGTTCCAGCGTTACCTTTCCACGACCATGGTGAATCTGCCCCGTTGCTCCCCCCCGAATGGCCGGAGCCTTCTAAATGGCCGGAGCCTTCTCCTGGCGTTCTGCGTGCCGGCCCCCACCATGTTTTTCGTAAGTGGCCATATGCCGGGAGTTTTACACAAATTCCTAGGCATTATTAACAAGGGATTATATCATATAATATATATATAATATTTATTGATATATTATATATTTATTAATATTTTATAATATATATTTATTATTATTATTACTAATGTTATTATTATTGTTGTTATTATTATATATATATATAGATAATAACAATAATAACAATATATATATATTAATAATAATACTAATAATACGAATATTACGAATAATACGAATAATACTAATAATACTATTAATACTAATAATACTAATAATACTAATAATACTAAAAATAATAACAATAATAGTATATATATATACAGTATAATATTATATATATATACATTACTCGTAGTTTTTTATCCTGGAAATTCTTTATCCAGTCACCATGAATTCAGCTGGATCCACAAGGTATTAGTAATATCCCATTAAACTCCATTGGATTCAATGAACATCTATTACGCCATATTTTTTCACCATATCATGCCGTATCAACTATGGCAATTATGGCAATTATCATCGAATTGGATGATGGGAAAATTTACAGGAAACCCCCTATATTTGATGGTAAAAACCATGATTTCCTGTAGATTTTCCCTTAAAACCAATCCATTGAAATTATGTTTTTTGCCCTGGGGTAAACTAACATAGATTCGTAAAAGCTATGGTTTCCCGTTTGGAAAATGAACAATGATGGGTGGCCTCAGCATCTGAATCTATAAAACGCCAGGAGGATCATTGTTGATGAATCACCTCAAAATTAGTTGGGAATAGTTGGAATATAGCATCTGTAACTAGCATTATATAATGTAATATATATATATATATATCCACTTATAGCTGGAACTTCCAAATATTTTGTTGATGATTAGTTAGTCCATCGTGTTGATTTGGAAAATCCTTATGGTCAAACCCCGAGGGTGATCTATCCATCATATCCCATGAAATATACCATTATCGCATTATGCATTGCTATCATTAATCATTATTGGAGGCTATGTTCCACAATTGTATCGAGTATATTCCCATGAAAACACCATGGTATAACACCAGCCTTCAGAAAACCAGTAGAAATTCCGGGATGTATCCAGTATACCCTCCAAAAACACCATGTTTTCCATCCCATGGACTCCATGGATCTCCGAAGATCCACGCTTCGCACCTCGATCTCCGTGGGTCCAAAGGCACGGTGTGGAATTCATCGCGGAGCCGGGGCCTTCGGTGCATCCGGCCTTTCCGGCTTCCTCCGGGTTCCTGTCGCGCTCGCAGCCGCGGAGCACGGGGACGGTGCGGGGCGACGGCATGGATAAGACGCATAAGGCGCGGTGAACCGCGGGGATGGAAAAAGGTGAAACAACTGGTGACTTTGGGAGGTTCAAATATGTGACGTTTTTGATTTGAGTGGGTATAAAATCCAACTTTTGTAGTTTCTATATAGTTTTCTTGAAATTTATTGGAACGCATTTTTGGGAGTTTCAACATCTTTGTTGGAATTTGTTAGAGCTCTTCCCGGTGTTGATGTTTTTTTTTAAGAGTGACATGTATTGGATAGACATGGATGGACTCAGTTTTGATGAGATTGCGTTTATTTTGTTTAGGCTTGGATTTTATAGGGATTTATTGGGTATGTTCCCAGTTTTGATGGTGTTTTTGCTTGAAATCGTTTGAACAGACTTAATTTTCATGGGATGTTCAAAATGTTATTGAGTTTTATTGGGTATAATTCCCACTTTTATAGTTTCGATATACATAGTGTTGCTTGAAATTTATGAACATGCTTCTAGGATTCTTAGAATGGGGGTACACCAAAATCATGGGTTTCAATACTACAATGGTCTAATTTTGAGATAATTGGGGGGTACCCAATTTTAGGACACCTCAATTTTGAATAGCTATGTTAAATCACCAGAGGGTACATCCACTCTGGACATCTGAAATCTGCAGGAGCATGCCTATGGGTCTGCGCACATGTTCGGGCATCAAGACGTGCGGAACAACATGAACCCCTTCTTGGCACACTACCGGATACCCAAGTGCCTTGCTTGGCTTTGCTCTTTGCTGTTTTTTTTGTTCTTTCCCCAACGGAAACCTCAGTATTTGGGGTCTTTTAACCAGCTCTTGGACCGAGGTGGGAGACGACAAGCACCATGTATGGCGAGCACTATCGTCATCCAGAACAGACCTACACACGACCCATGAAGAATCGCATGCCAGTGTTTCACATCAATCTATGAAACAAAACCATTTGTGGCGGCAAATCGCCCCATCACATCTCTCCAGGCCCAACTTGAAATGTGTACCCCCTGTAATGATATCTGTGGGCATCATTATGAATAAACAGGTAAATCATCGAAGCAAATGGGCAATGTCCCACAGCTATTTTACATTTTTGGAGGGTCCCTCCATCAAGGAACATAAATACCACAATCATTGGATTTCCCGTCAAGTCACTAGACCATGAAAAAAGGGGGTCTTTGAGACTCCCTGGCCCTTCCCATGCCAATCAACATCAACATCTCACATCAAGCAGCAACTTTCTGGTACGATGTGGTAAATGCCATACCCTAGATCATACCTCCAAGTAGTTTTAGGCATTTTGCTGTCCTCTATGAACATTTTGAAAAACGGAGGGTCATGGATGGCTATGATTTCAGGTTTACCACACACATTGTGGCACCTTGCCGCCCAACAAACAGTATCTCACCCTGCGGCCATCAGCCGTGCTGTATCGAAGGGCGCATCTTCGCAAGACTTGGGAATGCCGCCAAAGACGGCATGGAAAAGACGACCCAGGCATGAAAAGGTCATGAGAACCGACTGCTGACTACTGTGGTAAGATGTGGTAAAGCTCATAAAAGCTGCACTTTTTGATAGGAAAGAACCCTAATGATGAACTTTGGGCTTCATGAAGTTTGGATTTACCACGGCGAATGACCAGACGTTTGTTTCGGGCGCTGCGCTTTCGGGGCCGAAGGTGGCCATCACAAGCTCACAGGAGGGTTGCTTTGATGTCCCACATTTTTTGGACTTGAAAAACCATCAGTTTTCAATGACTGCAGAAAATGACATAAATGACATAGAAAACAGAAAACCAAAGTCTGCAATTTGGACTTTTCAATGACTGCAGATGATTGTCATTCAAATTATAGGTGATGCTTCATGTCTGCAGCTCCCGCAGGGGAAGTCCAAAAAAGCTGTCAGGTTTCGATCTTCAAAACAGTGATTTACTGGCCTGGCCAGCCATGTCTGGAGGTATCTGGAGGTATCTGGGATGAGCAGCTTGAGGATGAGCAAAGTCTGATCTTGTTCAGACAGTCGTTGCCCTCCAAGCAACCAGTGCAGGTTGGTGAAAGATCAGCTTTTTCAGAGATGGAAACGCATCTCAAAAATGTGGATGTCCAACCCCATAATTGCTAGGTAGAGGGTTTCTTACATGTGGAAACAAACACAACATGCTTGGAGGATCGAGGGAATCTTCTGTGTCATGGCTTCTAATCCATGGCATATCCCCATCAGGTGGATACACAACAACAAAGTCACGTATATGTCAATCATTGTCAATCAATTCTTAACATTGGATAGAGAATATAATGTATAATTGTATAGAGAATAATGTTGACATGATATACAACAACAATGACACATTAACAGGTCAAGCTTATATATCCAACCATCATTTGGTAATGATGAAATCATAGAACGCCCAGTGAGACGCCATGTGTCACCGCTGACGAAAACAAGGGCTCGTCACTGAGTAGTCCGCGATGCGATGGGCACAGAGGCCGTGGATTTGATGGGATTTCATAGTGGATTTTGTGGTGGTGAATGGGGGATTTCACCAAACATATCCAACAATGGGGATATGAATGGGTTGTTGCCCTTTATGGTTATTACATAGTGAACTGGAAGCCATGGCCCAGTTAGTTCAATGATTTAGCTGTTCAAAATGGTGATTTGCCATAGCTTTGTTGAAAAACAAGAGGGTAAATGTTGTAAGGCATATTTTTGCTGGGATGCGGATTTTCAGTGTCTATGCTAGTTGTGAGGAGTGTACTGACCATATTTCGTGGGGATTGGAGCTGCAATAACTGGGGGTATAAGTTGATGTCACCCTGAAATGCTTGGTTGTGCCCTAGACTGCCAAGTTGGTTTACATATCTGGTCAACTATGGTTTATGATGGTAGATACAATGATATAAAAGATATAAATGATATAAATGTATACCCTCTGTTAAACTAACATAACTTTGGAAAATCACCATTCTTAATGGGTAAGCCAACTATTTCTATGACCATTTTCAATAGCTTTTTGTTAGTTTACCAGAGGGTAGTTCATGAGGGTTTTGATCCAACTTATGGCTCGGGGGCATACCATATCATGTCAGAGGGGGAAGCTCCAGAGCTGGTCTGGTTGACACAGGAGCCTGCTGACAGTGGCAGCTGCGATGCTTTTGAGGTGCCCAGCTGGAACCGCGGTGTTTCCCAGGGTGCTTTCAGCTGGATTTCGTCATTTCTACCATAGAGGAAGGATGAAAACAATCAATCACTGGTTGATTACCCTCTGGTAAACTGACATAACTTTGGAAAAGCACCATTTTTTTGATGGGTAAACCAACTAATTATTTTTTTTTAAAAAACATTTTCAATAGCTTTTTGTGAGTTTACCAGGCCGGGTAGGTTTTTTTTCCACATGAACATGGCTCTTGGCATTGATGGCTGGGGGATCAATCCAACATGTTCAGAGAAACCCATACACAATCATGTGTACACAGTGTACACATCAACAGATATCATAGTGTTGATTATATAGCCTAATATATATATATATAACATAGCCCAATATATATGTAATATACATATATATATAATATACATATATATAATATAATATATATATATATAATATAATATATATATATATAATATACATATATATATAATATATAATATACATAATATATATATATATGTATGCCACTATATACAGATATTCCCCACATATTAATCATGAACCATCATGATGGCCATACCCTATTCATCCCGTGTAACCTGACCATGGCACGTCTGACTTGAGCAGGTCGTCCATGACTTTCTCTGGAGTTCAACCAGGCCCGGGCAGGTCTCCAGGGGTCCCCAAGGGTCCCCAGTAAGGAGACTCAGCAGGCGTTGCTGCTTGGTGCTTTCAGCAACTACTGGACATCCAATGGGCTCCTTTTTTTCCGATTTCTAGGGGTAAATCGGAACAATTTTGGTTGGTGGTTTCAAACATGGCTTTTATTGTCCATTTCATATATGGGATGTCATCCTTCCCATTGACGAACTCATATTTTTCAGAGGGGTAGGTCAACCACCAACCAGCTACATGTGCTAAAGCCAAGAATAAACCAAGCCCAATACACCAGATCACTTTATTTCAGATGACGTACAGCCTAAATCATGAACCATCCCCAGCACCATGAATGAGTGGTAACTATCATGCCCGGGATGGAATTCAGGGGGTCCTGGAAAGCTGTGGGAGTGATACTTGGCCCCACATCTGATACTTGGCTATTCAATGGCCATTTCAGGAACCTGAATTGGAGGTACCTACCATATATAAGGCCTATGTAAGGCCTATGTAAGGGAATATCCCAGCAAAATATGGCCTTATATGGTACAGTACCTCCATTTTAGGATCCTGGAATTCCCATTGAGCTATGTGAGGTTGGGTTCTACATAAGACACCTACGAATTTGTTGGTTACACTGAGTTCTACCTGGAAAACGTAGCTGCCTTTGAAGATTTCGGTTGCTGGATCAATGGACCATAATGTTGCTGCCCTGCCTGTGGATCAGCCACACCATGGGCGTGTCATGGCTTGTCCAAAATTGGATATAAATGGATATCCCATCATACAGCCTGAATCCCGTGGTAAATCATAATATTCCATATATATATAGATAGTATACATATATATTCCATTTCTATTCCTGAATGTTTTGCATTCAATTTTTGAATCATTTTTTTGCGGGCCCTAGTCCATCCTATTCCTATTTCCCAACCCAAAAAGTCCCTGTTGCCATCCATGATCCACATCCAAAATTTCCAGGCTTTGTCTAAATCCCCAAGTATGAGATTTTTCATGGGTTAAAATTACGTTTAAATCCCACAAAAAAATATACCCTCTGGTAAACTAACTTGAAAATGGCCCATAAAAATCGTTTGTTTTTCCTATTAACAATGGTGATTTTCCATCGTTTTTTGTATGGGATTTTCGGATTTTCCTCTAAATCATGTTGAATCCCCATCTTCACTGGTTGGCAGGTCTACAGCGCTGTACGGCAAGGGCGGATGACTCTGGAACTGCTGAGAAGGGCTACAGGCTGTCAGCAAAAATCTCGAGAGATCTCAGCAAAAATAGCTATACCATTCATGTATGGCATATACCCTCTGGTAATTTAACATAGCTATTGAAAATGGCTATTTATAGTGGATTTACCCATTGAAAATGGTGATTTTCCATAGCTATGTTAAATTACCAGAGGGTAATTACCAATATTTAGATACATTTAGTTATTCTAACAATCAAGCAAACAAGTGTTTGTAAAGATACTTGGAAACACCCGGTTTCGCCCAGAATATCGGTTTTTAAATCACGGGGTTGAAAATTTGAAGTTCAGGGTCCAGGTCTGTTCACGAGGCAAAACCATCCAAACAGCCATACGATGGCTAGGCTATGTGGACAACAATGCGAACGGCGCAGTCTATTTCCAGATCTTCTCCTGTGTTGAACTTATGGCTTTGGTACCTGGAAACACTGGAAAGCAAGGGAAACACCCCAAATTCCAGTCGATCATCATTTTCCCCAGTGCAATGACTCTAAATTGGAGTATCCTCTCTATGTTTCGACAAGCACATATCGAGACAAAAGATAGTGAAGGTGGCTCTTGGTCAAGGCTTTGTAGACCTTTTAAAAAGATAGGTTAATATCAACATCAGAAATAAAAGTCAAACCGTTTATTTTTTTGGATGTTCACCCAGGGTAGCTGTGGGCTTTTACCCTTACCGCTGGGATCGTAACGAGACAGGATTCGGAAAGCTCGAGACGATGACATGCCATGGCTTCTTGGAAGGGAATCCGAGATTCAGTGATGATTCCAGATTTTCAGGTCGTCAAAATGGTGTGTTACGGCTTAGCAGGGTTGACAAAGATGCGGATTTTGTATGATTGTGCTCAGTTGCCGTCGTTGCGCAT